GTCTTATATTCATGAAAAAACGGTTGGAAAAATTCGAAAATCGTTGAAAGATACAAATATAGGCATCGAACATTCACCATTATTATGTGCAGGTTTATGCACAAAAATATAATCTCAGTAAGATATCGTTTACAATATATACATGAATGCATATGATATCGACCATTATAATGTGCAGATGTATGTACACTAGTATGATATCACATAAAATATATATGCATTGGACATTCAACGTTATGATATGCAGATTTATGCACATATTTCAAATCTCAGTATGATATCATATAAAATATACAAATTTATCCTTGGGAAATTCACCACTATAATATGCAGACTTATGCACAAAGTCCAAACTCGATATGATATCGTTAACAATATATACATGTATGCATTAAAAAAAATACATTATAATGTGCAGACTTATGCACAAACATCCAAACTTAGTATAATTTTTACAGGAAATATATGCAATATATATTCAAATTATGTTGTCCAGACTTATGTACAGACATCAAATCTCAGTGTGATATTACATTATATATATATATATATATATATATATATATATATATACAATGGACATTCACCATTATATGTCCAGACTTATGAACCAACATCCAATAAGTATTACATGAGATATATATACAATGGATATTCAGCATTAAAATGTGTAGACTTATGCAAACAAATCCAATCTCAGTATGATATCATATACCAATTTATGCATAGGAAATAAATGATTATAGTGTGCAGACTTACGCACAAAACGCCAATCTCAGTATGATATCGTTTACAATATATACATGATGCATACAAAATCCACCTATATGATATGCACACTTATGCACACAAATCCAATCTCAGTTTTATAACCTATTTAATCAAATACGTTTTGTTTATGTTGAATACAAAATAGAAGTAGAGGAAAATAAACAAAAACTAAGACAACATATTTGAAAATTATTAAGTGGTAGAAGACGACAATTACTGATTTACAATCTGCTATCATGTAAATAGAGATATATAATTTGATTTGTTCTCATTTAAACATGTAATTAAGTGCTTTGTTATGAATATTTATGTACTACGATGTTATCCGTGATTTTGTATGAATAAAGATTTATTTCAACAACAAAAAATAATATCCTATTTAAGTATGCATTGGATATTTACCATTATATTGTGCAGACTTATGTACAAAACGCCAATCTCAGTACTAATATCGTTTACAATATAAACATGATACATATCAAATCCACCAATATTATGTGCACACTTATGCATACAAATCAAATCTCAGTTTTTTTAAATCCAATTTAACATAATTATATGCATTGGATATTTACCATTATAAAGTGCAGGGTTATGCACAAACATCCAATCTCAGTACAATTATTACTTGAAACATATAGATATTCACCATTATGCTGTCCAAACTAATGTACAAAGATCCAATCTCAGTATAAATATTAAATGAAATATATATGCAACGGACAATCACCAATACGATGTGCAGACTTATGAACAAAAATCCAATCTCAGTACAATTTATAATATTACAAGAAATATATATGCAAAGGATATTAATTATTATGTTGTGAGGGATTATGTACACAAATCCAATTTCAGATTGATATCTTATAATATAAGAATGAATTGGAATATTCACCATCATGTTGTGCAGACTTATGTACAAACATCAAATCTCAGTGTGATATTACATTATATATATATATATATATATATACAATGGACATTCAGCATAGGAATGTGAAAACTTATGCTCACAAATCCAATATCAGTATGATATCATATAAAATATACATAGGAAATACACCATCATAGTTTGCAGACTTTTGCACAAAACTCCAATCTCCAATGATATCGTTTACAATATATACATTATGCATACTTATGCATAAAAATCCAAACTCAGTATAATTGTTACATGAAATATATATGCAATGGATATTTACTACTATGTTGTACAAACTTATGTACACAAATCCAATCTCAGATGCATATCTCATGATATTTACTTGCATTGGATATTAACCAATATAATGTGCAGACTTATGAAGGAAAAAAACATCAATTCTCTGTATAATTATTACATGAAATATATATGCAATAGATATTGCCAATTATGTTGTCCGAACTCATGTACAAAGATCAAATCTTATATTATATCATAAGAAATATGTATGCATTGGATATTCACCATTATAATGCGCAGACGTATGAACAAACATCCAATCTCAGTATAATCATTACTTTTTTAAAATATGAAATAGCGATTCACCATTATGTTGCCCAGACTTATGTACAAACATCAAATCTCAGTGTGATATTACATGACATTAATATACAATGGACATTCAGTATTATAATGTGCAGACTTATGCACACAAACCTAATCTCAGTTTTATATCCTATTAAACATATATGCATTGGATATTCACATTATAATGTGCAGATTTATGCACAAACATCCAATTTCAGTATAGCTATTGCATGAAATATATATGCAATAGATATTCACCACTATGTTATCCAAACTAATGTACAAAGATCCAATCTCAGTGTTATACCGTACGAAATATATATGCATTGGACATTCACCCTTATGATGTGCACTCTTATGAATAGGACTCCGATCTCAGTATAATATGATATGTAATATAAATACACGCGACAATCTTCATTATCATATGCAGATATTCCATATAATGATATTTCATTATGATACAATCATTCCAAACATTTATAAACAATGGCCATTCACCATTTGGACGTGCAGGCCTATGCTCAAAAACCCAAACTATGTATGGTGTCATATGAAATATAAACATTGTACATTTTCCATTATGAGTTATGATGTGAAGACTTATACTTGTCAAATCTAATCTCAATATGACTTTATAAGAAACATATATGCATTGGACATTAACCATTATAATGTGCAGACGTATGCCCCCAAAATACTGTATTCCGCATCGAGATATGATTTCATACGAAATTTATATAGAACTGTCATCCACTATCATTATTTACAGAATTATGCATAAAGAATATCCCTATTATTACGATATCATTTTTCATTATCATACATTTATAAGAGGAAATCTGTATATAATGATCGTTGAAGAGGGACAAGTTAAGTAGAAAGTATCATTTATTCAGTGTATCTCATTCAAAATGCCAAAAAAGAGGAAATATCAAAACTGGCGGTAAATATACAAACAACGTTAACCCATATCTGAAAATTGCAATGGGTATTCAACATTGTCCCGAATGTGTGATGTAGGCTGTTCATATTGTGACGTCATCGTTTCGCATGTAAAATAACGCCGTCAATTCACTAGTGAGTGGGTTCAGAAAAGGGTAACAAAATTGCATTTAATTTATTCCTCACAACAGTGAGGGCTTCAAAAGTACTTTTGTCATTTTGTTAATGTTCTCAGCAATTTGTAGAGATGAAATTTGCTCATTTTCCACATTTCAATGAACCATCTTTTTAAGTAGTTGAAAATGAATTGACTGCAAGCGATTGGAAATGTTATGTCGCATATAACTGTATATTATGAAGTTTTTTAGATCATCATATTGATTCTATATTTTCTTGGTAAAAGCAACATTGACCGTTCAGAGATACAGATGTATGGGACTACATAAAAGGTGGTATGAAATTTGGTCCAGATGTTTCAGAAATGTAATGTCATATTTCGACCTTGAGAACATATTCAATGACCCATTTTTCAGGATGTATCTTTTCTGTGGTAATCTCCAACTTCATAAAAACAAGAACAACTGAGGAAGAAACTATGATTGACATATTAAAAAGGCGCACGTAAAAGTACGAATTTGAAAGCCATCAAGGAGGCGTCTGTCGGTTTGTCTTCTTTATTCTTTTCCTTGGAGTTATTACGATATCATTGTCCATTATCATACAGTTATAAGAGGAAATCTGTATATAATGATCGTTGAAGAGAGACAAGTTAAGCAGGCCTTTAATAGCCAGGTTTCTTCATGTACAACTTCTTTCAATGAGAAACGCTCTTCAAGGAAAACAAAATTATCTTTCTAGATTGGCGATCATTCTCATACAGGTGAAGCATGGTCATACTGTGTATCAATAGACGATGAAGTTGTCTACTATCATGTAAATACTCACTCGCCAATAATGTTTCATGATGTCCTTTAGTATGGGGGATAATGTTAAGTACTCTTACAGCCGCCAAACAATTGGGATTTGCGTTTTTTTTGGCATCAACTTTGGATCGCAACATACAATGTGTCGATAGCTGGCGTTGAACCCATATCATTACAGAAAGTCAATCTCCAAAAATGTATACAGTACAAAAAAGATGAATGATTTACACATGATATGACAGGACACACTAATCAAACTAGTCATCAACATTAAAAAACAATGGATTTGAATTCTACCCCATGTGTAATAAACAGGTCATAGTGTTTCCTATTGATCACTTTGTGCAATCAACCGAGAAAAAACGATCCTACGATCATTTAATAAACTTTGTGTCACTGGGTATGTATAATGATTACAATTTTTTTTTTACCTGACTGTATCATTATACAGCATCACGGTACTGAACATAATCACTGCTTTATTAAACCGGTATCATCAAAGTGAATGGTATCAGAATTCTACGTTAACATATTTAGAATGGCAATTGGTGATGGTACACAAATATCAAATCATGACAATTTAAAAATGGAAGTGGATTTCACAAAGCATAGGCCCATATGTACATAAAAGGTTGAGATAAATATTCAAAAATATATTAATCTTGTTATAAAACATCTTAATTATACCGAATGAAACATATTAACCAATAGTAAGTTAACGACATTTTGTACAAATTACCTTGTGCTTTCGTAAAGCGTTTAATGATAATAGTAGAATAAATCCAATTAAATATATAGTTAAAACATATATATATGTTTATATACATAAATATATAAGCATGCTGAAAGACACGTTTAAATGCGCTATATGTTGTATAGATATTTCACACTTTATGAAATTTTCATTTCATTCCATTTCTGTAACATAATGGTATACGTCAAGGTACAACAATAGCTTGAAGATAAAGTTGGATTCTGATCATTCCATTAAATAGTTGAAAATGAATTGACTGCAAGCGATTGGAAATGTTAAGTCGCATATAACTGTATACTATGAAGTTTTTTTTTAGATCATCATATTGATTCTATTTTTTCTTGCTGGAAGCCACATTGACCGTTCAGAGATACAGATGTATGGGACTACATAAACAAGTGGAATGAAATTTGGTCCAGATGTTTCAGAAATGTATTGTCATATTTCGACTATGAGAACATTCAATGACCCATTTTTTAGAGTGTATCTTTTCTGTGGTAATCTCCCACATAACAAAAAGAAAAATGAGGAAAAACCTAGGATTGAAATATTAAAAAGTAAAAATACGAATTTGAAAGTTATCAAGGAGGCGTCTGTCGGTTTGTCTTCTTTATTCTCTTCCTTGGAGTTCTATTCAGACTGCCATCCTTAAAATCGTGGCTTTTCCTTTGTTTGTCCTCTCTTGCTATTTAATCTTCATCGCTAGAGTCAGCCTTTCGGTCTGTCTTCCTCTTTCGCTTCCTTGGACCTCCATCATCCTTGGAATCACGTCTCTTTCTACGTTTGAACAAAATAATCAAATGAGACGACATTATTATAAGAACCGTTGGCAAGGAGTAATTAAGCAAGCTATGGACGTCAGTAAATACGTAAACGTAAAATGTTTAAACTGGAAAGTGTCAGGTTAGTGTGAGAAGCTTCTGAACTCAAAAGGTCGCCATTTCCCTCAAAGTTCGTCATTCCGGATGTTTGTAATTTTGATCAAACAATTCTGCAATATCCAGAGGTTTACTGTTCTGGGAATGCTTTTTTTTCCGTGCATGACATTATTACAAAATCGTGAAATCCATAAAACATTACAATTCAATTAATATGCAGTTCGAAATGGTTCAAATGATTATTCATTCAGAGTTTGCATTCAAAGTAGCAGTGCATAATGTTCTCCCAATATACTGTTTAATCATGAATGTTCGTGCCTGCTTTATTAACAATGATATATGCAACCAACTGTAAGTCTGTAACTCCTTCTCATTTCAACCTCCCCCTGCCCGCCCTCCCTTTCTATCACTCGCTCTCTATTTCTACCTAGCATTCTTCTTTTCTGTTTGCTGTACTTTTGCATCACCAGGTACTCCCTAATTTATGAATTATTCATGTACATCTACTCAATAAAGTTTATAATCTACCCGAGTGTGATTTGTTGACAGTGTATATAGGGGATGTAAGACCCATTATGGAGTACTGTGTACTTCTATTTCCGATAGTTTGACTTGTAAGCAGATTGATGTTATAGAAAGTATACAAAAAGAGCTTCTAAGAAAATATTAGGACCAAATTATACTTTATATGACAATTCTCTAAAAAGACTGAAATTGCCAACCCTTGAAGAGAAAAACCCATCAAAGAACTGGCTATTGCACTAGAAACGAATTTATTGTGCAAATCATTGTTACCGCCACATAAACCCAACAAATTCAATTTACAAAGCGTCAATAAGAAACAAGGAATTTCTTGTAAAACTAAGAGATTCCAGAACAGTGCACTTCCTAATGTCACGCGTATGTTTAACTTTCACTATGCAAATCTAAGATTATAATTGCCTTAACAACTGTGCAATATTATGTTATTTTTAACAGTGAGGCAATATCAATCAGCCATCTGACCGTAATTAAATACCCGAAACACCTGAGCTTCCGAGAGTTCTATGTTCAGAGTTAAAATATGTAGTGAAGGCGATATAGACTTCACAACATATAAGAAACCCATTTCTGACTATATGAAATAGGATTGAATGTTTCCTGTGTTCTTGGGAATGTTAAACGCACGAATCATTTTATAGTATTTGCAGTCTTTGCGTATCCACCATTACACTGTGCGTTGCATTAGTATGAAATATCTATGTTTGTTTGTTTTAGTTTTTTATCTGTCAAGTCAAAATTATTTTTGATGGTATATAGTATATTATTCCATGGTTAGCTGCAAAGTGTTCGTTGTACGGTAGGTAAAAAGGGTCGAAACCGACTAATTACGCCAACTTAATAGAAGGGGTGAAGGGGATTAAATAAAAAGTAATGTCTATCAAACAGCATTGTTTATCAAGTCCTGTTTAGGTATAATTTCATGGATTATTTCCAATTGAGGATGACCATGTAATGCACAATGCCCGATGTGATAATTATGTGCTCATCGAATTATCACAGCAGAAACGTACCGGGAAGATTTGGTGATATTCTGTTGACCGATGAAGGTATTTCTTGTTACACGACTCGAGTTTGCTGCATCTACATGTACAACGCCTGATGAATCTCCTTGCTTTTCCGAAGGAAGTTGTTTTCCTGTTGAACAAATAATTATTAAATGAATAAATGGAGATGAGGATGATGATGACAACAAAAGCAACAGCAACAAGAATTTGAAAAACAATGGCAATAATGTAACTGCTTGTGGTAATCAATTAGGGGGCCGACGACTTATTAGCCCGCTGTAAGGGCCTGAATAAGAATAAAATCTCTACCAAAGTGCAAAACCGCATTGACTAGGTTTTGAACTCGGGACCTCTAGGTCGTGCCTAGGTCACATATACTCCGTCACGGGGCCTGTACGATTGTCCCTACCCGGCGGCTTTCCGTGGATTTTGGAGACCGTACGGTTCCCTACCGATTTAGATTTCTACGGCATGTGTGGTCGCATATTCTGTGGCGTCCGGGAGATGCCCGGTGAAAAATGGTCGAGTGAAAATGCAAGGCGCCCGAAGAAAGGGTGCCGGCCGGGTGCCGCCGGTTAGCTTATGGGCTCCGTCCGATGAACAGGTGCACCCCATGGCCGGGGCCGGCAGGGGTCCTCAAGGCGCCCGTCTGGGTTCCGTGCGGTTCACTGAACTATGTCCTCTGATATCCGAGCCTCCTGTATTTATAGCTGCGTTGTACATTGAAAATCGACAGGAAAACAAATCGTGAGGGGCCCGTCCGGGCAGGGGCCCGCCTGGGACCCGTATGCTGCACACGATCCTTCTACGGGCTTTTTACGGCCTAACGATCATATGAAAACGCCGTTAGAATTGAGAGCAGCCAACTTAGCACTACGGCGCAACGTACGGCTGGTGAAAACGTAGGAACTGTGCGGGCACCGGCCGAAAATTCCCCAAATCTATGTTTTTACTCGCCTTTCGGGCCTTGGGCTTACCACCTAGCTATAATATAATAATGATACTGATAGTTATGATAATGATAATGATAATGATGAAAATAATAGCAATAATAAAACTGAAAATGATAATAATAATAATAAGACTAATACTGATGATAATAACAATTATGACAATAATTCTTTAATAATAATAATATTGATAATAATCTTTATAATAAACAAAATATTTATGATAAAAGTAGTACTAATCATAATAGGAACTATAATACAAAATAATGATGATATTGATAATAATAAAAAAAAAATACTAATAATACACTCTTGCCGATATTTGGATTTTATATTTAGTTTAAACTCTTTGTTGTGACAATATGGTTTATTTGTGACAGTTAACGCTTTTAATAAACAGTGAGAACAAAAAGTCCACGCTTTGAAAATATTGCCCAAAATATAATTTCATGATGTAGGCATGTCATTTTTCTCATAAATTTATATATGAGGGTTTATACAATCGGAGTCTAATTCATTTTAATGAAATTTCCGTCCCACTTTACTGAGTTGCATCGGCATAGATATGGATGTTGCAGTGAACATGTAATTTCAGAAATACCTCCTTACAAATGACTTGATCTCTTGCAGACAATTTGGCTTTAGACCAGGTCAAAGCATTGCTGATCTCCTTACAATACTCTCACAAAAAGGGAATACGGTCTAGACAGAGGTGAAGAAGTTTTTGCTGTAGCTTTTGACATAAAAGGAGCATTTGAAAAAGTGTAGCACAATGGTTTATTTGCTAAATTACTAGCAAAGGGTGTGTCCAGGAGTCTTCTCACCTGGCTTCAGAGCTACCTCTGCTAATGAATCATCACGAGGAATACCGCCTGATGTGGATGGCCTCAGTCTCGGTGATGCGGAAACTGCTTTTCCGAGTGATGTATCGGTTATTCCTGATTGTAATAGTATGACAATGCGTTAACTTCGTAAAACTACGACTATATGCCTATATTGAAAGTGTGTATTAACTGTACTTGCATCTGCATTATTATGACAAAGATTTCGCTTCAAAAGTGACTTTTTAAACACGTGTTTATTGTTAATAATACGATTAATAGAGATTAAACAAAAGGTGCAGAGCACACACAAGGTGCGTTCTATCGAAAAAAGGGAATTGGCAGTTTTTGTTAGTTATTATCCGAACAAATTTCCGTCTGTTAGTGTGTCTACACCTCTAAACAAAACGTTGAGCTTGGTTTAAAATTCAGTTGATATGACAAAGAAATCAGCTTTCTTGACGAATATTGCCAGTTGAAAGTAAATGTCAATGTCAGTAAGTTTAGATAGAAAAGACAAAATAGAGCCTAAGTCAAGATTCCTGCTCCCACCTCATTCGTTAATGACAAGGCACACTTCATATATTATATATTTAGGGGGTTATCATAGCATCCAAATGTTATAAAATTCTAACGCAATTGGTGGTACCTTTTAAAGTAACAAATAAACAGTTCCCTATGGTGCCTTTTCTGCACGCCCTAAACCTCTCATAACTTGTCAAATGTCCACAGCTGACAGATTAAATGAATGACAAACATGAATTCAAATTTGTAGATGTATCGTTGGTTCGATTCTATTAAATGTTAATTACCTTCTAAGTGCATGGGAACCAGAAGCTGCTTTGTTGTGCTTTGTTCCAAGATGAAATGTAATATTACTTTATTCTTGTCAGTGGTTCGTGTATCCACTGTGAACATCACTTTTTGCTCTGTCAGATGGCAAATCTCACTTTCCTGTAGAGTCTGCGAATTAATCATATATATATTTCTTTGTTTGTGTGCGGGGTTTTTCATTAATGAATATAATATTTAAGAATAAACTGTACAAACCCGTCAGACCGAAAGGCTTCTATGTTATATAGTACGAAAATATGTATCGTATCGTACTAAAATGGTTGATTCATGAACAGCAAAATTGCAATATTCCCATAACAAACATGTATTTTAACAAATTCAATCTAAATGACACTTGGCAAAAACGTCATAAAGAGAGAAAAAAATATTCATTAGAATTAGTCCTCCCTTATTAACAGAGAAAATTCCTGACACCCTGACAGATTACCGTTGTTTTTGAAGTATTTGAATGACCCCCGTGCATGCTGGCTGGCTTTTATTATCTCTATCCTAGCTACGTCGAAAATGGATTCGTAACGTACTTAGATCTCTTAAAAACAAAAAGGATCCAGGATGAAAAAGATCCAAGAGCCATTTAATATATTAAATTGTAGTTTAGATCATTCCACCATACGTTCAACTTTCCGTTTCTAAAAAGAAGTTTGAAAAAAATATTGACTTCAATTGGGTAGCATAATATCCACTGTATGTTATGATTTGGACAATTGAAATGCTAAGAGGTTGGGCAAATGAAATTGCTAAACAAAAGATAACCAACCATGAACTGCCTTATTTTCGAATTGCCAAATCATGGGTTATATGTTATGTTGTCAATTAATGAATAGCTCAATTAACTGATCCTAAGAAAAGGAACTATCCGATTCTATAACCTAACATGTATTGAGTACATAATATTGCAAAGAATTTGTCCAACTCTATAAACAAAAATATATACCAAAATTGGCCATCGATTGTCTTACTTCCATTTACTCAACAGATACTTAGCATTCCGAATCTAAGCAAACTTTGAACAGGTTGTTTAAACTGCTCGTTTGAATGTTACCATGGACTCGTCTTTCAAGGTGCTTTCTAGGCAAGTTATCTTTAATCCTCCAGAACGCCACCTCAAAAAGAATTGCTCTCCCGTGATCGGAGCCATGTATCCAGGCTGTACCTTAACAGTTGAGAAAAAGCATTGAATAGTTCAATTTTAGAGGTGTCTATACTCAACAAATTGTAAACTATAAGTTATATATATAGAGAGAGAAAGAAAATAAAAAGACAAAAAGGGCATTGACACATAAACATATAAATTTAGAACTACAGAAGTTTAAAATTCAAAAGACCATCATAGTAATATTTATATACAAAATAATATTAATAATATTGAAAATACTAATAATTTTTTAATGAGGTTATTTACAATATTAATTACTAATATAATATCATTCTTATTATTATCATTATTATCATCGATATAATTATTTTTGTTTTCAACATCCTTTTATTGATAAAATGTGCACAATAAGGGACACAAACTAAACCAGAATAAAAGTAAATTATTGGAAGATGCATTATATTAAGAACAGTAATGAATAATTGGGTCGTATATACCCAGGGAAAGCACATCAGTATTTATGTTTTTTCTCCCTGTGGGCCCGTCAATTATTTTAACCTCAACATTGCCAGGTACCCATGTGGATTAATGTCTTGCCAAAGTAATGTGGTTCATACTCCTAAACTCTTGGATTGAGATTCAGGTAAATGTACTGCAATACCACGTAGCCCTATGTATACTCCTGTTATCATAATTACACTTGGTGAACGTGTACGACGGTACCTGAACATTATGTTATGGGTACTTTAATTGCAAACGAAGAAGATGACGATAGAGAGCAAAAATAATGATAAGAAGATACAAAAAGGAAGAAAACCAACCTCTCCCTTTCCAATGTTTGCATCTCTTACGTGGACAAACAACACGTGTTCATCATTCTTCGGAGTTGACACAGGAATATATGGTGTGCAAATTACACGTTTTCCAATGAATGCCCATGTGATGATAGCTACTATCCAAATTTCGGAGAAGTGGTCCATGTAAATATCTAGGTCGTGGTGTCTTACAACACATCGTAGGCTACCGTCGGTAGAAGGAATCGCTGTAAAACTTGCCGAAGCTATTGATGCAAACAATCATCAAAGAAAACGTACGTTTACCACAACCTTAGCAGAACTATGATTATATCAACAAATCATATAATTCAATTCGAAACCTAAATGTTCAGCGAAAATTACCACAAATGTTACATTATGTATTACAAAATGACGGCAACCATGTATTTCCTCTCTAAACACGAATCGAACATTTCTATCTTCTTCTCACCGGCACAACCAATACTACTTCATGTCTCATGGATAAAATGGCTTTTTTAAGGGGGGGTGGTAAAAGCAGCCAATATTGTATTTTACGTGTGCTATTAACTTCCTTGGTCATATCTATTACTTCATATAATGAATGACAATGTGAATGGGACAGAGAAAGAGAGAAATTTACCACTCTTGCGATAATAAGTGACGACTTTGGCAGCCTCTGGCTTTTTGAATATACCACAATGGGGCATCGTTACTGTCACCGGAATATTAAAGGTTGCATCGGAGGGCGACATCCTCAAGCCGGCGGCAATGATGACTTCCGTTTCATTCAGCACCAACTCAGGTGGAATGTCATGGATTAGTTCGACGGTGACATCTTTTGCGCTGTAAGCTTCATGTGGTGGAATTCTTACTTCAATACCATGCTTCTCAAGCCGAATCACGTCAGCATCCTCACTCAAATCGTCCCTGCTTTCACGATTTTGAACAGAGATTTCATCATGGAGGGCGCTCGATGACGAGATATGGTGAACGGACTCTATTTTCTGTCCTTCGTCATTTGTAGGTTGTGTAGTGTACTCATGAGGCCTGAAATCCGCCGCCCGTAATCCTTTTCCATATTCTATCCACGCAGAAATGGTTTTCTTGGAATGCTTCATTTCTGTAAATGAATTTGGGTAAACTACTACTACAACTACTAATAATTATTACACAGCGCCTTTTCCATAGGAAACAATGAGCTGCCCCTTTTAAAGTCTAAAGACATCTTTAAGAACGGTATATGCACGTTTTCAGATGTTTTAAAGGAAATAAAATGAAGCGCTATTCTTAAAAAAGCAGGGAAAATTTTACATAGGCGTGAGTCATCTGATTGAAAGGATTTGAAGCCAGCCTTTTTTCGGGATTTGGGAATGAGAAAGAAAGGAGCTGATGTAGATCGAAATGAATATGATGTCCTCCATTGCTGAAAGAGTGAGGATATCGTTAGAGGAAGTGTGCCTAATTTATTTAACATGACAGTTCGAGCTAGAAACTAAATATATTATGCTTTTCCCGTCACTGCAACCCCCCCCCCCTTCAGTAGAATGGACTGTCCCTGCATCATTTGGGCAGGCTGTGCAGACAAGTGTCCATTCCATGTTTAGCATTCTTTGAAATTTGAGCAAAGTCATGTATTTTCTCGAATTTCAACTTTACTTAGTGGGAAAAGGATTTGAGAAAAAAGTATTTTGATTAATGTTGGATAAAAACGAATTACACGGTAAACTTACTGTACTTTGGGACATGAATAATTGTTTATCTTGCACTCAAAGTGAATAATAATATCAAAAATATAAAGAGGATGCCTACCTTCATCTTGATGTGGCTCGTCGATAACTCTAAAACGAAAGACCAAAATAAATGGTAATATTGAGCATTATTCTAATGATTAATGCATTCAATTAACCGGTCCTTTTGTGATTAGGGGGCCATTATATAAGGGGTTTTCATCAGCATTTTGCTTATCCGGGATAAAATTTGCGCTCATTCCAAATAAACTCTCAACGACCATCGCCTTGACATTTTTTGTCATTTTTTTTTCTTCTAAATCCAAATTGAACATCACTAAGTAAATTGTGTTGTGTCAGGAAATTTATTGTTCGTGAATACACAAGTTTGTCTAATATAAAGTAAATAAATTGGCCTATAATTTCCCTGTTCACGCGAGTCACCTTTTTTTAATACAGGTATCACTTTGGCTCTTTTCATTTAAAGCGTACGTCACCACATATCCAGTGCTCCTTTTACTCTTTAAATTGCTAACAATATCAATAACCTCTACCTCTTGTACCGGGACAAAAAATAGAGAAGAGATTCAGGATTTCGACGATCTAGAAGTGAATGAAACGATTGATTTGAGGTGGGGATGGTATGTGCAAGATTAGGTCCTATATTTACAAAGTAATTATTGAAACTTTCAGCAATAGAAGCAGGGTCTTGAAAGCAAGAGTTTCCGACCAAAATCTCTTGAATATCCTGCTTATTACTGTTTATATTAAGTGCATTGTTATAAGCCTCCAAGTGTTTTTAATGTCATTTCTATGAAATTCAAATTGATTAGAGAAATAATCTTTTTTGCATAACGTAAAATGCTAACTAGGGTATTTTTATTTGTCTTATATTTGTTTTCGTTTGACTCTGTCGGCTTGGACATAAATTTGTAAAATAAGCGATGTTTCCTATTAATTGAACGTAAAGGGATGTTGTTATCCATGGACATCGTAGGGTCTTTCTATAATTTGAGTTCCTACTTGTATTTTTAACAGGTAAGTCTCTTTCATAATATCGAGTGATACCTTCATCTTTACTAATCTGAACTGCAGTAAAAATGGACTTAGATGATGGCATCCAAAAACCGGTTAATCAAAATATTGTACCAAAATGCCAATAACCATAACAATTCTCGTTTATAACTATTGGTCTATGTTGGCCTAAAGTGGTTAATCATCTTATAACCAAATCGAAAGAACATTGTTAATTAATTTTGGATTTTCCCCAACAATAAGATTTCGAATACAAATTATTAGTGATTGGAAACTAATTCTAACCTGGCTATTGAAGTAGGAACTTCACTGGTTGCTGCTGATGCATCTTGAACAGGAATAGCGATCGCTTTAGATGTCGACGGTCTTTGAAATGAAGAAATAGTTTTTCCTGGTGATGTTTCGGTTGTTCCTATTTTTAAGAATGGGAAATTTCGTAAATATATGCATTGCTTGCAATTGCTTGTATTACCCTATTGCATTGAAATTACAATGTAGTTACACGTGTAATCACCTATATAAAAGCCACAATTCATGTTTCGGTTACTAGATATGGATTAATATGTAATTCTCTATTATTATAATAAGTTGAATTTATTTAATATGTATTGCTTAATTTAATCAAAATCCTTATACCTGTATTTAAATTCAGCTTCATCCTATTTTTTTTCTTGGGAGGGGGATTCCTCTTCGATGATTCCAGTTATGAGAATGGATGTCTTTACTTAATCTCTCATTTTCTTCTATTCTCTTGAACCTGTATTCCAATCGTTATAACGTTGACAATTAACACGGACCCATCTACTTTAGAAAATTCAACCTAAGGCAAATTCAATGGCCTGGTTCGTCAAATGTTGAAAGAAACGAACATTTCGCAATGACATATATAATACGTACTCCTATTTTTTTGTCTATAGGTCAAAGACAGGTTATTGGATGAGCCCTTGAGTTGATTTCATTTGCGATCGTGTTCATTGTGCATGCATGGAATGCCTAAGATTATGTTCCTTTCAAATTGTTTTTAGCAATTAAAGGGATTGGGTACCTTTGTCCCAGATTCTAAACAAACAGCCTTCTGGTCGGAATAAAAGACGAACCAGCCTGCAATCGTACACAATCGCACCCCTGGTATGACCTCAGTGTGCTTCTGGGCCGATTTAGCTCTTCTCCATACAAGGAACCTCATTTTTTAAAACTCTATTGCAATTTCAATTTAATTCATCATAAGGCTATTCAAATCATCGAATATAAGATTGTGCACGTTGGAATTCACATATTAAATTATGTTGCAAATTATTTAGAAATCGAATTGTTGTCGGATTGTAAAGTATGCAGTTTGCAAAATGAATATTTTGGGCGAAATATGAGCTGTAAGAAAATAATTATTCGCTTTTCACAAAGGCAAAATTATTGAATTAATAGCATGTAAAAATCGATTTGTACCAGATTGTTGGTAAAACAGTGAAAACCTCAGTATCACATGCGAACATAACCTAAAGGAAAATGTAAGGTTTTAAATAATATTATGCGACATTGACTTTTGGGTGATTATAAGCATTTGAATAAACTGTTACAAATAAAAGAGTCGAATCCTCTTTTTCCTGGCTAACAGGGGCGTAGCCTCTCACAATGCCCCTAGGCCAAAAATAGTTCTCTAACCATGAAAAGAAATTACAATTTTATGAGAAAAACTACATATATTGAAAATTAATTATCTGCATTATGTTCCCATTAGACCATTTCTTTCGCCATTTCCCAGAATGTAATTGCCATGCCAATCTTCTCGTTCATGTGTGATCCTATTGTTTTTAACAGCTTTGCCAAATTCTGGCACAAATGGATTTTGATATGGCATTTCCAAGACAATGTTGCTCAGTGAAGCGTATATGAATGAATGTTAACAATGTATCATTTGCCGAAAGCATACTTTTAATTCATCAAAAGCAAGGGTTTTTTGTTCAGCCTTGTTCAGTTTCTTCGACGCACTATACATAGTTGCTGAAATATGTTTTAATCAATATTAACGATATTATCTTTAGTAAATATTCATCTTCATTTCAGACAAACATCGAAAAAGTCATACCTTGCCTGGTGATGAACGTAGACTGCAATACTTGTCCGGGTGCAGCTTTGAATTTCGAACTTACGTCGCTCGGACCAGGATTCATCCATGCAATGACACTTTCTTGGGAATAGTATGTTTCTCTAAGTTGTGGAGTACCTGTATTCGCTGAAACAATTGAAGTCACATATATGTTTAATACGATGAATAGCCCTTGTTTTAATTTTTGGAGACATCGATCATAAGCATATATTATATTCACATGCAACGAATCTTCAATACCATTTATACCATTGTGGTATTGAATAACAATGTGACGGGTTATCTACGCCATTGGATATTTTCTAATACATACATAATTACACCGACACGCACACACGTACATACGCACATATATATGTATAACGTATAGCCTATACATGTGTGCGTGTATGTGCACATATAAATTTATAGGCAGGTAAGTATGCGCGTAAAGCTGCAATTACTGATAATGCTCAACTGTAGGAGCTAGCGTATATATTATGTTTGCTGAAGTACTTTAAGTTGTATGTGTTACCTTGCAAGATAAATTCTGCTGTCGAGATATCAAGCTGATGCAAATCTGGATTATCACTGTCCACAAGAACCCTTGGTCGTCTGAAATATCATTTAACCCAGCAATATTTGTTTTACATATTATAAAGAAACAAAAACAAACAAATTGTATGCCAGAAAATCAATACGATTTGGCACAACAAATGGATGACATAATCTATTCGTATAAATGGAACACCACGAGTCTTGCTACACAATTAGTCTAAAGGAGGTCACATGACAAACGATAGATTTCATATTTTGGAGGTTGTTTTGATACCAAAAGAATATGCGATATACTATTGTCGATGTTACATACACGCCAAGAGATAATGGATCATTCTCTTACGAGATATACACGGGGGCTTTCTTGACATAGGTCAGGAGGCTATTGTCTCGTGGGTCAGTGTGAAGCGTTGCTGGACAACAACGCGCAAGCAGAAGATATAGTGAGCAGCAGCTGAGAGTCAAAGTTAGGTTTAGTTAGGTATACATTTAGGTCTAGATCTTTTGGAAGTATTGCCGATGTTGTTTATAAAGCAAACAAATAACATCTTTTACATGGGTGAGTTTGGAAGCTGTCATCACATTGTTGATCTCGGGGGCTATTCCACCCCCCCCCCCCCGCCCCACCCCTCCCCAACTCGTTAGCATGTTAAACAATCCTGAGATCCCCTCTGCGAATATATTTTGTCCCATCGCCAAAGTAGTTGTTGATTATTTACTTACTACCACTAAGGTCCTTTTTGCATAGCAAAATTGACCATAAAGGGTTAAATTACTCGTTAACTGCTTATCGATAATACTTGTTCCACTAATTACTTTAGAAGTGTAAGGCGTAAATTAATGGAACTATAGGACGGATTGACCAAAACCTCACTTTCCCCCAGAGCGATATTTTTTGCAGAAACTTATTCCCAAATGTACCTTAAACCATTTATATACCCAACAAATTGAAGAGCTTGCCAAGCTCTTTTGTTTGATAATTTTTGTGTCATTGTAGCAAAATATAGTCATTACACCATGTACACATATTTAGATATTTTCATCACGAATCGTTGGCTTTAAAAGAAAATCAGAAATGAACCTTAAAAACATTTTAGACAAATGAAAGTAAATAAAGACCAATGACTTTGATGAATTATACAAGACATCAACCGATACTCAATTAGTACAGGGATATTTCTATAAAACATCTTTAAAAAGGGCTTCCATGGCAACGAATTGAGTAATAAAATACCATGTTCTCTTTTAACTGCGAGTTACATTTCAAGACAACAAAGGAAAATTCTAATAGGGGCTACCAAATTCCATGATTTTTTTTCACGCGCATGGAGTAACAACCAAATAAATTAAATGTGATGAAGAAAAAGAAGAAGAGAAGAATAAAAATAATCAGATATTACTTTCGTCTAGAAAGTCTAGAAGTTGACAGGGCCCGTAGTCTTTTGCGACATGTTGTCCAATGACCCTTCGCTTCATCTGAAAAACAACACATATAATAATTATTTCAAACGTGTACGTCAAGCACATAATCTTCATATTTAAGCAAAATTATACATCACTTTACCAAGGAAGGACATTATCAGTACCATTACAAAATTACACTAGACATTGTGTTGTATTAATCGCTAACTCATTCCATATCATGCGATATATTCCGGTATGTATTATGATATATTCTGCCAAAATCTTTTTTTGGCACTTATCAGACCGAGGGTGGAGGAATCTCTCTACTTCCTGTTACTACTTACCAGGAGCCTGAAAGTGATCTGCGTCGGAATGCACTCTGCTCACACTGTCAAGACAAAAGTGCAGGTAGAATTTAAAATTGATATTTATATATATAGCTTTCATTGTGATATGCCTTTACAAAGAGTTAAAATATTGTTTACCTGAATAGGTATTTTTGGGGTATAGTGATTTAAAAGTGAAAGTTCTGGTGTTGCGGTTGTAGTGTGAGCAAAAATATTTTGAAAGATAGATTTAGTGCATAAGAATAATTGAGAATTATGACTTTTTGAACTAAAGATAAAATATGAACTAAATCTGAAAACTACATACAGTAAACAGCACTGCACAGTCACAGGAGTTGGATTGTGGGATATAAGGTTATGAAAGATTAATTTTAACTATTAATCTACTTCTAGTAATACTTTGAATTATTATGTCAAGAGCAATATATTTGATAAATTTTGGGCGATAATACTCGTCGTCAATGAATTAGAAATGTTGAGAAAGGACACGAAATGTATTCAATATTTATGGATGTTGCTCTTTTTTTATTTCTATCAAGTGTTTCTTTATCGAAAAGGTAATAAAGCAGTGTATTTCTTGCAAATTTGTATCAATCAATAATCAACGGAATGTGCTACTATTTTAGATAAAAGTTATCGACTTTGATCTAGGTGGTGTGATTGATTGATTGATTGATTGATTTTTATTCGACAAGCTTCCAATATACAACAATATACAATAATAACAGATCAAAAATAAGTCAGCTTGAACAGGATAACCCACGAAAGCTCGAGAGCTTATTTCCAGTGGGGTCCCTTACAGACATGTATACAATTAATAAATTAAAATAGTAATATTTACAGACAGATAAGAAAATTAAAAGAACTACTTATTAAAGATAATAATAACAACATTAAACTGATGATAGAAATGATATTAAGTACAAGAAGAAAAAGAAGAAGGAGAAGAAGAAAAAGAGGAGAAGGAAGAAGAGGAAAATAATGATGAATTTGTAGAATTTCTATAACGTACGAAAACATAAGTATATACAACATGAAAAAGTATGAACCGACAGAAGAATAACAATTTCAATCATATAACATGTCATTCACTTCTCTTCTCTGACTGTCAAGTATTAGGTATTCCTTTAATTTCCTCTTAAAATGATCATAGTTTCCTATTTCTTTTACACCATTGGGAAGGGAATTCCAATGTTTTATGGCATTGTAATAAAACGAATTTCCAATACTACCTACTCTTTCTGGTAAGTTAAAGTTGAATCGTCTATTTCTTGTATTATAATCATGTACGTCAGTAACAAGATCGAAGTTGGATCGAATATAATGATTCGCCCTAGTATGATATATTTTATGCACGTGATGCAATGCGAGTTGTTTTGATCTTTGGTCGACTTCAAGAAAACCAGCTTTAGAAAGTTCGCTATAGCCAACATGAGTTCTTGGACCAGAACAGTTGATAAATCTCACCATTTTGTTCTGTATAATCTTCAACTTCTTTTGATCTGACTTGTTTATGTTACTGTACCATGCAGGGTTAGCATAGTCAAATAAACATTAAATAAGAGCAAAACAGAGTGTACGTCTTGCTTTTAAATCCATACAACTTTGATATCTGTACAAAAATTTCAGACGAGAATTTGCTTTTTTTACAACTGATTCTACTAAAGATGAAAATGAAATTGCGCTAGCCAACTCAATGCCTAAATACTTCACAGACTCTTTTCTCTTGATTGCTTGATTATTGTGTGTCACTTTGAATTCAAATGACTTTTTAGAACTACTTTTAGAACAAAATAAAATGCTTTCTGTTTTTCCCAAGTGTAAAGAAAGCTTATTATCAGTCATCCAATCGACACACGTAGACAGCTGTTCACTGAGCTTTTCCTCAATATATTTAGGATCAGGATTTGAATAGAGTAGTACGCTGTCATCTGCGTACAATAATAGTTTGAAGTCTTTTATACAAATACACATATCATTTATATAACTTGAAAATAGAATTGGGCCTAAAATACTTCCCTGAGGAACACCGCATGTTATAGGCATTAGTTTGGAACGAATATCATGAATGGCCACTACTTGGTGCCGATTAGATAAGTAGGATCTGAACCAATCTAAACTTGCCTTATCAAAACCCATTAGTTGTAACTTCTTCAATAAGACGCAATGATTAACTGTATCAAAAGCTTTTTGCAGATCAAGGAGCACCATACCAACAAAGCGTCCTTGGGAAGTTTCTCTCCTCAAATAATCAGTCAAATGAATTAGACATGTTTCAGTCGAATAATCATGTCGAAAACCAGATTGAAATTCATAAATTATATCATTTTCTTTGAAGTATCTTTCAATTTGAACACAGACCGATTTTTCTAGAATCTTTGATGCTACGCTTAAAACACTAATAGGTCTATAGTTGCTAACATCAGTTTTATCTTTCTTTTTATAAAGTGGAGTCACTTTTGCTATTTTCATATCTTCTGGAAAAGTACTCGTCAAGATAGATAGGTTCATTAAGTAACTTAGAGGCTTAAATAAAACCTTCGCACCATCTTTTAGAAATTTAGCTGGAATCAAGTCTAACCCAGTACTTTTTGATACATTCAACTTACGTAACTCTTTGAAAACAAATTGTTCACTGATTGGTAATAACTCGAAGCTGTTTTCACGTACACCTTTTCTTTCGTAAAAGTCACGAATACAATCATTGTCTGCGCTGAAAAAGTCTTTGGAAGGGGGGAGTTTGTCTACTAATTTGGCAGCCACATTTGTGAAATGAGAATTGAATTCATCAGCGATGGCCATCTTATCATGACATAATTCCCCATCAATTTTAATGACAGATTCTTGTTCTTTTCGCTTCTTATTTTTCAATCCTAAGCTTTTTAGATTCTGCCAAAGTTTTTTCGAATCTTGTTTATTTTCTTCTATCTTGTTTTGTAAGTAATCGAGTTTAGCCTTTTTCACCTCTCTTTGGACCATATTTCTTAATACTCTGTATCTTTTATAGAGCTTCTCATCTTTTGCTCTTTTCCTCCATTTTTTGTATACTATATTTCTCTCTTGAATTAGGGAAAGAATATCTTTAGTCACCCAAGTTTCTGATCTTTGTTTTATTCTTATCCGTTTCAGTGGCGCTATCATATTCAAATTTGAGATAAAAACATGTTGAAATATTGACCATGCCTCATTTACATCTGTACAGTCAGTTATTCGTGACCAATCAACAACAGATAGTTGAAGATTGAAAGACTCTTCTGTATATTTTTTCATGGATCTGATATCATTAGTCCTGTGATGACCTATAGCCAGTCT